GCCTTTCGCCCGCTACATCCATCATTTATGTATAAACAAATGATTCCCCGTAACATTGCTCTGATGTAGCCAAAACACCGCCGAAGTTAGCAAAAATAACGAGCCTCCCGACAATGCGTTGAGTGCCGCTTTGCGGCAGACACCGAGATGAGCGCTGCAATATTAAATGGGAACCTGTTCAAATATTATAAGGCTCTCGCGGGGAGGGCCGCGCGGGGAGACGGGACGCGGGATGTCGGACGAGGTTCCGCGGCTCATAGAGTATGCAGGCTCAGAACGTCAAACGCCTGCCAGTTATCCAACATTTTTATGAACAATATATTTTTACATTATCTAGAAAGTGTAATAGTACGTAATTAGTAGTTAGCTACTACTATTATACTACGAGTAATTAGGTATGTACTTTTGCATGTTTTATTAGTTGCATATTAATACAATCTTTCCATCTTTAATTTTTCAGACTCGATCAAGCAATGTCTAAAAATGTGGTTGTTTATTGTCTTTTACATCACTTACCCCCTTACTAATAAAAGTTACACAGTTGTTGAACACTGTTTTAAAATGGCATTTCCATACTAAACGTCACTTTAAAACTGTTTAACGAGCGTGTAAGTTTTATTAGTAAGGGGGTTGATTTTTGATTTTGAAGTAGATTTCAATACTTACTTAAAATCTTACATTTTCCTGTGAATCACAACGGTGGTTTGTTTCAACCTATAACCTACTTACTAGACTTTGCTTCTGGCGGCTTTATTAATGCTTCTGACTATGAAAAGTTTAATTTATATTCTTTATTAGGAAAAAATACAGCTTATATTTTATTATGTAACGTGTGGTCAGTGCAGGCTCCCAGAGGCAGGGTGCGAGTAGGCAGGGCCGGCGCGCGGCTGGCGCGGCGCCGGTGGGCGGCGGAGGCGGCGGCGCGGCAGTGCGCGGCGCGCGGTCCCGGGGCGCGCTAGGACAGTGATGCGAGCGCGAGGCTGGGCGTGTGCGGCGGCGGCGGCGGCGCTGCTGGCGCTGGCGGCGGCCGCGGCGCGCCGCGCCGACCAGGACTTCGAGTTCGACGACGACGCGGTGAGCAGCCCGCCTCCTCCGCCGGCCTGGCGCCGCCCGGGGCCCTTCGAGACCTCGCTGCGGCCTCGGGGGCTCAGGGACAGGCGTTCGGCGCGGGTCGATTGCGTGCGCATTTTGCCAAACAACGCAATTTAGACTTGAATGGGGAGCATAATTTGCATACAAAACATTTAGATTACACTGTTATTTCATTATTACTTTGATCTAAATAAGTACCTAATACCTACTGTATTGCAAATTACAAACATTTTTCTTGGCTTCCTAAGTATTAGTTTAACCTTGCTTGAGACACGGAGGGGATCAAAGACTATTATGAGGGGATCATACACAAATGTTGTCTGCTCAATTTTAAAATACTTAAGTACGGCACGGCAGTAAAAAGATTCCTTTATAGGTTTCTAATTTAAAAATATCAAGGAAAAAAAGGACTACTTAACTGTTCCCGTGACTTCGTACCTACTTAGTAGGTATGCGTGAAAATAGTAGGTAGGTATGAATAATATTTCCTATTTTTTGCAACATTTTTCTTAACTGCTCCGCCCGTATTGCCTGTTTTATGTATAGGCCAAAGCCTTCCTCGATAATTATATGGGCTATCCAACACAAAAATATGTTTTCAAAGCGAACCAGTAGGTAGTTCCTGAGGATTAGCGCTTTCAAGCAAACAAACAAACTATAATATTATTATGTATTAGTATAAATAATAAGTAGGCCATTTGTTATTCACTACAGGTATCTACATTGTGTGTAAGTAAGTAGGTACTTTTAATTCGCTGAAAATACTCAGTAGGTGCCTAGGTAATAATTGTTATGTATGAATTGTTTCTAACAACGCTTTAGATAAGGTTAAGTAGCACTCATGTCTGTTTATGTTTCGTATATCTACTCAATATTAAGTCAGGTCAGCAGGACCGTTGTCGGATGGCCATGGGCGTTGATTCGAGCCGCTTTATGATTTGCGGTTTCAGGAAAGTCTTTGTCAACGTTTATCAAGTAAACTTCTAGAAGCTGTACATCCAGTCCGAATTTTTGTAACAGAATTTTTGTACTAGGGCACTATTTAAGTTGTGAGCCTCGACATCATAACGTGTTGTTAGACGACATCTGATACTTTGAATGAAAAGTTTGTGATTTTTGACTATAACCTTGTTCAAAACTTTTTGTCATTTGAGCACGTTTTCCATTATTAACATTGAATTGAAAAATGTCTTGACCACAAAAACGTCGAATTGACTTGCGGAAATCTTCGCGCGAAAATTTATTATGACTTTTGACGTGGTTAATCATACAAAACTGAAGCGGTCAGCTAAATTTCACTTGTGGTGATAAAGATCTATCCTTTACCATTGTAAAACGCTAGTTTAAGAAGTATAATAAAAATAAATAAAATAAATAAAAATATAATATTGTATGTCATTGGCTCATCAGTGAATTTTGCGAAAATCGTCCAAAATGACTAATTGTGGCGGAAAACATTGATGTTGTCAGAAAAATGGAAGAGAAATCTCATCATGTGATATATCTTAGGATTGAGATAATCCTAGGCATTAATTCCACCAGCAGTAATAAAATATTGTATGACCATATTATGGTTAATACGTTTTTTTCTCGCTGGATGTCACAAAATTTTTCAAACGCTCAATAGGACGCTTGTGTCGTTTAGTCCTTGGAAATGTTTGATAAATAAGTTTAAAAAGCTTTAAGAGCCGTTTTTAAAATTGTGACAGTTGACGAATTAAGGATCTATGCATAATGATCTTGAAAATAAACAGCTATCGACTATGGAGGTGTTTTAAGATGAACCAATTCCAACAAAAGTCCCATGCGCTCGGAACACTTTGAAACTTACGGTCGCCTATTTTTCCGAAATATCCGATTATGTGACAGAAACGTCACTAGAGAAATTTAGAATGGTTAATTCTTAATAGTAAAAACGCTACAAAATTCTTGCTTAGAATCTTAAAACCTCCTTTGGTACCCATATTTTAAAATTTAAAGCGGTATCAGCGATTTATGTAGCCAGAAGCAAAAGGCGGGGCGGGCCAAAACCACGCCTTAGAGGTGCCTCAAGCTGAGTGGAAAAAATGCTATGAAAAGTATTTCGGACACATTAAAAAGTACATAAATCATGAAAGACAATACCAATAAACGCAATCAATACCATTTTAATAATAAACTACTTTGTTTTCATAGTTAGGCTCACAACTTAAATAGTGTCCCACGTAAATCTAAGTCATTCATGTGTTGTTGGGGACGCTCATGATCTTCTTGCTCGGAAAATAATATTAACTCCTGTCTACCTACGGGTACCTATCCTACCTACCTACCTAATAATAAGCAAAGGCTAAAGTAACATTACATTAGAGATTATTTTTGTTTACCGACTTACAATAGGTATTAGGTTTATTTTCTTCAACTAGCGACCCTGCTCCGGCTTTGTACGGGTGCTATAATAAACATGATAGGTATAAAACTTTGTATTGAATTACTATTAGTGAAAACTGCATTAATCCGTTGCGTAGTTTAAAAGATCTGCACGTATATACCTACTCTTAGAAAGCGGGAGCGACTTTGTTTTATTATGCTCATGTAAAAAAGAGAGAAAAACCAAAAGGGTTTTGAGTATGAAATAAAAATTTATTGACGAATATTTTCTGTAGGTACTGCTAATTAATTGCTTTGTGTATGCCGGCAGGAGGCGGGCGGCGGCGGAGGCGCGGGCGATGCGGGCCGCGCGGGTGACGCGGGCCGCGCGAGTGACGCGGGCCGCGCGGGCGACGCGGGCCGCGCGCGCCGGCCGCGGCGCTACATGTACGACCCACACAGTTAGTGCTCTCTTTACAATATTTACCTACTCATTTCGTACACCACCCGCACACTTTGCTTTAATTACGTAGGACTTTTTTATCGTCAGGAAAGTACATTAAATTAAGGAGGAAAATACCTAAGTACCTACATAATTTTGAAATCATACACCAGAGTCCTATTGAAGAACAAAAGTTGTGTGGATTTAAGCGCCTACTTTTCTCGTTACAGGATTGTTTGAAATTGTGGTAGAAGTAGTTACCTACTTATAATAGATCTTTTTTCTTTCTAAAATCAATTTGTCCGTTTTGGTATCAGTTTCACTCGACCTTCAGTCTTCAGGATTTGTTAGTAGGTTTGTGTCTATGTTACGGTCAAAGTGATAAATGTGAAAATTATGAATAATCGCCGGTTTCTATGAATAATTACCGCAAGATTTGGTAAATGTGATTAATATAAGGTCATTTATGTGTGTATAAAACTAAATAGGCGGCTTAGGGGTGGCCCAAGGGCCACCCCCGCCGCACCTTAACCTATTTTCCACTTTAAATCAAAACATTATGTTATAGGCACCATGGAAAAGTAATATTATGCAAGAAACATTCCAAACTCATTATGTCAAATTTTAATAATATATGATATCAAAACGTTCAAAAGTTTGGCTGTACACGAGCATGTACACAAGATGTTGTTCTCTTTTATGAAATTTTCAACCGACTTCAAAAAAAAGGAGGAGGTTCTCAATTCGACCCGTATGTTTTTTTTTTCTATGTTTGTTACGCGATAACTTCGCCAATTATGAACCGATTTGAACAAATCTTTTTTCGGCGTATAGGTAATACCTCAAGGGTGGTCCCATTTAAATTTAATAATAGAAAAAACAACCCCCAAGGGTGGAAAATTGGGGATGAACTTTTTTATACGCAATTTTTAGTTTTTTTTTGTGTTCACGCATTTGAAGTCGGTTTTATTTTTTAAAAAAGTTAATTATTCAGTACTAAGGTTGAATTATCAAATAATCACTGTTAAATGTTGTCGGGTGTAAGTCCAACAAATTAATAAGTATGAAATAATATAACACGTTAAAATTGGTTAAACTTGGTATATTCGTAAAATGGTTAAAAATGGTTAAATGGTATGCTGAGTACACGCGGCGATGGTAACCGAACGTGAACTAACTTAAAGATATTAAAATAATGAAAAGGTTAAAATTGGGTCAGATTGGTAAATGCTGACCGCGCGCTTACGGGCGAGTTGAATGCACTGTACTTCGTACATATTCCCGAGGGAGAAAGAATAAGCAAATGAGGGTGCAAGGTGATACAAGATGATAAAACAATAAATTGGTGCAATTTACAAGGTGATAATAATAACATGGTAAACTTAAAAATTCAATTCTTATAGTCTCTATTCAACAACACTAAAATTAAAAGAATTTGGTAATTTCACTTTTTTCACTTTAGCATACACATGGTCACTTGCACTAGTACACTGGACATTCGCACTATCACACTGGTCACTTGCACTAGCACTGCGGTGCAGGGCAGTAGCGCGGGCGCGGGGCTGCGGCTGCGGCGGCGCCTGCTCAGCTGCCGGCCACTGGGCGCGCGCGCGGATCCTCCGCACGCCGTAGGCCACAGCAGTCACGAGGCCGGCACCCGTCAGGAGGTAGATGGCTATGTAGTGGTGCAAATCATGGTTGTCGAAGGATGTGTCGTCTAAGTCTTCCTTGGTATTATTCTTTATTTGTTCTATTTTCTTTCCAATAATCTCTAATTCCTTGTCAATATCAGTTTCTTGGTTTGTGCTGGTTAGCGGTGTTATATTCATGGTAACGTTCACAATGTTATTTATTGATGGAATTTCAATATTAAGAATATCTGGTTTCATTTTAATGTCATTGGTCGATTGTTTGTTATGTGACAGCAAGGTGATCCCGTCGTCCTTGATGACGCATCCACTTTCCAAGGCGAGTATCCCGACCTTGCTGAGTCGCTCGATGGTAACTTGATAGTCACATATGATTTGAATGGTGCATTCACTGCAACATGAGTACAAGTAATTGTTTACTTTGTGTAGTTGCATCCAAGTGTTTTTGCATTTTGTGCTCTCTGTTTTACAACTTAGTGACTCATTTACTTTAACACAATAACTTTGATCGGTTTTAGTCATAGATATTGGTATTTGATGGGCACACAGTAATGTTTCAGAGTCATAGTTACTGCATTGTTGTAATTGCAAATCGGAAAATGGTATTTGTAGATCTTTTTGTATATTAATTGCTAACAGGTCTGCCACAGTAATTACTTTGTGCATTTGATTTTCGTTTTTCATAGGAATTGGTATTAATTTATAGATTTCAAAGTTATCTCTGCCTACTAATGGTATTTTAATCTCGAAGATCAGAAATTCTTGTGTAAATCGGGCCTTGACAGTTAATAAATGGTAGATTTTCATTAGGTCGGTTTGAATGTTGTCGATTGGTAATGATAGTTCTTTGGAAATTTGTCCCGAGATCATATGAAGTTCTGTAGTCAGTTGTTGGGGTTGTAACAGATGTATATTAAACTTTCCATGAAAGATATCAGTGATGGTGGTTAATAACATTTGCTGTATGTCTTTGAGGTTCATAAGTATTCCGTTTGCTGTGATTGATGATAATGCGAACTCATTGGCATCTGAGTTTTCTTGTATTTGCTTTTGCATGGTGTTGGCAAGTTGATCTAGGCGGTTCAAATGCTGGTTAAATGCTTTATGTTGCTGGTCGATAGTTTTCTCCATTCGTTTTATAACGTTGTACTCAGATTCTATTATCGATGTGTGGTTTTTCAATAGCTGGTGTAGATATTTTTGGTCATGTCGAAGCTTGGTTAGGTCTTTCTGGTATTGTTGTGCGAAGTCATCGTCGAGTACTCCGAACAGAGTATGGGCGATGGAACCTATGGCATTCACGAGGCCACGGCGACGACGGTGGTGGTTTTCTGGCAGTTGTCCATGGTTGATTAAAATCTCATTATAGTGTTCGAAATCTGCTAAACTATGGCGAAGATGTAGCAATACTAGTTGGCAGTGCGATGGTATTTTTTGGCAGAGTTTTTCTAAATAATCTATGTATTTTGTGACTAAAGATGTCCCGTCCCAGTATGCGTTCATATCATAAAATACTACCAGCTTCCATTCGTCTCTTATTTGTCTCATATTACTGATTTTGTCAAAATATATGGTTTGATTTTCTTTCAGGTTGGTCGTATGGTACGACTCGCAATGTGCTGGTGTGGCTAATAGCATAAGAAAAATAAGTGCCATGGATAGAAAACTAACAGTCTTTGTTTTATTTCTCAGGTTCATGGTTGGCTTACTTGGTTTGGTTTCATTAACATTTGATGTCATCTCTGGTTTTGGTTGGGGTGGTTTTTGCGATGTGTTTTGGTTTTCTTTAGGGTTAATTGGTAGAATAGACAATTTGGTTATTGGTCTTTTCAATATACCTCCCTTGGTTTTCAATGTGACTACTCTGACTAGACCGTCACTACCAGGGTGAGTCTCTAACACTCGTCCGAGTGCCCACTTTCCGGGCAACACGTGTACATCTTGGACGATTACAACATCGTTCACCTTAATATTGTTTTGGGTATGATGCCACTTTGATCTTGCATTTAATTGCGTCAAATATTCTGATTGCCACCTTTTCCAAATGTCATGGTAAATCTTTTGGGTAAGTTGCCATCTGGTACGTTGGTCTTTTTCAGTTTCGATTAGAGTTAATACTGGTCCACTGCTGAGGAAATGAGATGGTGTCAAGAAGTCCAGATCATCTGGATCTTCTGAAATTGCACATAATGGTCGTGTGTTTAAACAGCCTTCTAACTGTGTTAATAGAGTAGAAAATTCTTCGTAGGTAAGTTTTTGGTCTCCAAGTACTCTACGTAGATGGTATTTGAGGCTCTTGACGGCAGCCTCCCAGATACCTCCTGCACTTGGCCAGGATGGTGCATTAAAATGCCATTCTATTTGCATTTCTGCTAGACTTTGGTAAATGTTATCATCCATGGTTTGTTTTAAGTTGAAATATTCTTGTTGTATGGTATTGTTAGCTCCCACAAAATTCGTTCCATTATCACTATACATGTGTCTTGGGGCGCCTCGTCGTGCTGTCATCCTTCTTAGGGCGGCTATAAATGCTGATGAAGTAAGGTCAGATACCAGTTCCAGGTGTACTGCTTTGGTGGCTAAGCACACGAAAACTGCTATGTATCCCTTGCTGCATTTTATGCCTCGACCTTTGTTGCATTTCACTTCGACAAAGCCGGTAAAATCAACCCCTGTGTGGTAAAAAGGTCGTGTTTGGTTCGTCCGTGCACCTGGTAAGTCTCCCATTAATTGATCTTTGTTTTCAAATTTAGCTCGGCGGCAGGTAATGCATTGACGTAGACGTTTTTTCACGGCGTTATTACTCCCAATAATCCAGAATTTTCTTCTCAGCCACGCTAACGTGAGCCGAGGTCCTCCATGGTAAGTCATTTTATGCGTGTGGTCAATGATGATATCAGTTAGATGGTTATTGTTTGGTAATATAATTGGGTGTTTCATTTCCTCACTAATATTGGCATGGTTAATTCTCCCACCGACTCGCAACACACCTTCAGTATCCAAATATGGATTTAATGGTAATAAACGACTTTTCGGATTCAATTTGGTTTTGTTATTAATGTTGGTAATTTCTTCCAAAAATTCAGTTTGTTGTACATGTTTCACTAATAAATTATTCGCTTTCTGAAGCTCTCCAATGGTTAAATACGATGGTTTGTTTTGATCACGTGAAAATGCGCGTAATACCCACGCGAGAACACGACACACTCGTGAGTAATTGCTGTTATCGGTGATCAAGTTACCGATGACGTCATTTTCATATGGTTTGGTTATAACGTTGACTTGAAGCTGTTTTTTGGTTTCTTCTTGTGTTGTGTATTTTGGTTTCTTTTCTATAGATTTCTCATCAAATGTTGAAAGCCACTCAGGTCCACTCCACCAAATTGGATGTTCAATAAGTTGTGCGGCCTTAATGCCTCGGCTGGCACAATCTGCGGGGTTTTCATTGGATTTGACGTAATTCCATTGTTCTGCTGGTAATATTTCTGTGATTTTAGTTACTCGGTTGGCCACGAACGGTTTCCAACGGCTTGGGTCGCCATTAATCCACCCTAACACCGCCGTAGAATCCGACCATCCAAAGGTTTTAACGTTGAGTTCTGATAGACATGTTTGAACAGTTTTCATCAAGTTTGTCATTAATTGAGCAGCACATAACTCTAATCTTGGTAACGTCACATCTTTCTTTATAGGCACGAGGCGAGCCTTGGCGGCTACAAGGGTCACGGAGGAGGGAGTCTTGCAGAAAATCACAGCGGCGTACGCCTTGGTTGAAGCGTCACAAAAACCGTGTAACTCTATATTATCACTTTTGTGGCATTTTAACCATCTTGGTATTTGTGTTTGGTTGATAAGTTGTAAGTCTGTTTTGTTTTCATTCCATTCTTGGTTAATATTTTCTGGTAAATTATCATCCCAGTTAAGGTCTAATTGCCATATTGACTGAAATAGCAGTTTCAACTTGGTGGTCACAGGGGACAGCCATCCCAGAGGGTCAAAAACTTTCGATATTTCAGAGAGTAGCTCCCGTTTGGTTATCTGTAAAGTTGGTAATAATGAGATTTTTATATCAAAACTAAATTTGTCTGTTGATGGTGTCCATTTCAGTCCCAAGGTTTTGGTTGACTCCTGTTGTTTAAATTCAAATGGTTGTTGTTTATCATTCACATCTCTTTCTATTAATTTTGGTTCGTTTGATTTCCACTTCCGTAAATTGAATCCCCCTGCTTTGCACAACTCTATTAATTGGGTTTTTAGATTTTCAGCATCTTCAAGGTTATGTTGACCGTGTAATAAGTCATCCATATAAAGGTTGTTCTGTAATGCTTTGGCTGCCTCTGGATATCTGTGAGCTTCATCTTTCGCTAACTGTTGCATGGTCATGAGGGCTAGAAATGGAGCGGCTTTTGTTCCATAAGTAACCGTGGTTAATTGAAACTCTTGAAGTGGTTTATTTGGCGAATCTCTCCATATGATTTTCTGGTATCGCTGATCATCTTCATTTATGAGGATTTGTCTGTACATTTTTTCTGCGTCCGCTACATATCCTATTTTATATTGTCTCCATTTAATTATTACTGAAAGGAGGTCATGTTGTAAGTTCGGTCCGCTGTACATAAGGTCATTCACACTTAGTCCAGTGGCCGTTTTTGCTGATCCGTTGAATACGACTCGGATTGCAGTAGTGGTTGACTCAGACCGTACGACACAGTGGTGTGGTAAAAAACATTCTATTTCTTGGTTATTATGGCTTATTTTCATGTGGCCGAGATTAAAATATTCATTCATGAACTGTTTGTATCCAATTGCTATTTGGTTATTTTTACATAATTTCTTTTCTAATTGGTAAAATTGAGCGATGGCTTTAGATTTAGATTCTCCTAGTTTTTCATCTGCATCTGGTTTCATAGGTAATCTGACGACATAACGACCATCTGGTTGGCGTTTTGTTTCTGTTTGGTATTGTTGTATGCAATATAAGTCTTCAGTTGATTGATTATCTTGCTTGTTTGTCAAGTCTTCTATCTCCCAAAATTTTTGTATGTCGTCATAGTTGTTCAGAATAACATTACAGTAATAAGATTTGATATTTCCACACAGTATCCACCCTAATTGCGTTTGTTGTGCAATAGGTTGGGATTGGTCTTGTCTTATAATCCCGTGTAACATAATTTGAGAGTATACATCGGCACCAAGTAATAGGTCAACCGGACGGCTTCGGTTAAAATCGGGGTCAGCAAGTTGTATGTTGTCGAGATATTGCCATGAGGGCTTGCTGAAGGATTGATTTGGTAACTTTTTGATGAGGTTTCGCATTATGAAAACATCAGTGTCCATGGTGAAGTCATTATGTAATGATGCTACGGTAATGGTAATAACGCCCTTGCAAGTGTTTTCTTTCGCTCCAATGCCAAAGATAACGCCTTTACATCTTTGGCGTGGTATTCCAAGTTGTTGTGCTGCATTTTCAGATATTATTGATGTTTGAGATCCTTGGTCAATGAGGGCTCTCATAGTCTTGTAAGTTCCATCAGCTGCTAAGACATTAACTTGGGCGGTTGCTAACAAAACGTCGGTCATTGACTGGTGATCGTTCGACACGTGTGACACATAATTTGGTTGATGACGCTGATTGTTAAAACTTGGGTTGGCAACTGGACGATTATACGTGTAAGCATTGTGCAATAGCGTGTTATGCTTTTCGTTGCAAATGCGACATGTTTTTTGTGAATTGCAATCTCTGCCATTATGATTGATTAGGCAATTTTTGCATATATTCAATTGAGAAATCGCTTTCCGTTTTTCTTGGTTGGTTAATTCTCGAAATTTGGTACACATATACAAAACATGATCCTCATTACAGATGAAACATTTTTGGGATGTATTGGTGGTGGAGTGGTTAATAAAGGGTTTATTGTCAATCTGTCTCCAAGCATTTGGATGTCTATAAATTCCTTCCTTTGGTGTCCTATATTGATTGTTGTTGGTATAATTATTTTGGTTATACTGGTGTCTTTCATTAGATGTAGATTGTGAGTATTTGTTTGTCTCACTTTTTCGGCGAGCAGTCTCTAGTGCAATAAATTTCCCTTCTAAAAATGATAGGAAATCTTTTAAATATGGAAGATCTCTTGGTTCTGGTAGCGAGTCAATATAATCGTTGTAGGTCTCGGCGTCAAGTTTCTGTGCCATGCAGTATACAATCATGGGGTCCCAGGTCGTTATATCTACACCTAGGTTTTTTATAGCGTTGAGGCATTCATTGGTTGTATCGTGGAGCCTTTTTATGTTAAATGCGGTCTGTTGATGTATAATTGGTAATGACATGAGCGTGTTCATATGTGAGTTGAAAATTAATTTCTTATTATTATATCTCTGGTTCAATATGTCCCAACAGGTCTGGTAATTCTCTGAACTAATGTGAAGATGTTGAATGAGCTTTTCAGCCTCTCCACGTAGCTTGCTCTTCAAAAACTGCATCTTTTGAGCTCTAGACATAGATTTATTTTTATGAATGGCTTCTAGGAATAAATCTTTGAAGGATATCCATTGTTGGTAGTTGCCACTGAATATTGGTATATCTATGTGTGGTATAGACTTCTCTCTATGGTTGGTGTCCCACATCCTGTTGTTAATAGACTTCTTAATGTCGTAGTACTCATTTTCATAGCGATTAAATAGTTCATCATATGTCTTGTCTTCAAATTCTAAGTTACTGTCAATTTCCCAATGTAACGAATCTATTGCAGCCCAACGTGATTCAATAATCTTCAAAACATCTTGAAATTCCCATTTTTCAGATAAAACGTTCAAATTAATTTGAGAAATAGTTCGAGCTAGAGCTTTGAAATTGCTTTGTTGTTTTCTCATCATCTCATCGATTTTACTTGGTTTGTCGACGTCATGGAAAACAAATCTTGGTAATGGTAGAACCTTTTTAGGCATGGTTTCTGATGTTGAGGTTCCCGCTGTTGACGTACTCGGTTGTGCGGTGGGTGTTGATGGTTTTTGAGATTCACCGGTTTTCGGACCCGAAGGGGATTGGGACCGATTGGTTACTTCATCATAACTTTTGAGTAAATGGACTCTAACATCGTCATAAAATTTCTTGGTTTTGAANCGTTCAAATTAATTTGAGAAATGGTTCGAGCTAGCGCCTTGAAATTGCTTTGTTGTTTTCTCATCATCTCATCGATTTTACTTGGTTTGTCGACGTCATGGAAAACAAATCTTGGTAATGGTAGGACCTTTTTAGGCATGGTTTCTGATGTTGAGGTTCCCGCTGTTGACGTACTCGGTTGTGCGGTAGGTGTTGATGGTTTTTGAGTTTCACTGGTTTTCGGACCCGAAGGGGATTGGGACCGATTGGTTACTTCATCATAACTTTTGAGTAAATGGACTCTAACATCATCATACAATTTCTTGGTTTTGAAATAGGAATCATCCTCAAAATACATATCGTCTTCAGTTTCATCACAAATATTGACTAATTTTTCATGGTTTTGCGAAAATTCTCTCCAGAAAGCTTCTAACGACTGCAAACGACGTTTAATGCTATCAGAGGTTTTCCTTTCTTTCCCTTCTTTTTTGAAATTCATGTAAAGCTTGTTCATATTCTCCATAATCTCCTTTTGTGCGGCAATAAGATCGGCGATAGAAGACATCTTGGTAGTTGGTTGGTGCAGTGGTTGGTTTATAGTATAAAAATGGAAAGATCTTACTTGGTGGTTCTGCTTACTGGTCGTTGATAGTAGTGGTGTTGGTGGCCGGGAATCCAAATATTGGTCACAGGTCACACAAAATGGTTACAATTGGTTTGCACTGATTGGTTCGTAGTCAAATGGTTCGATAAATGGTAAAGTAAATATCCCCCTTAAGTGAATATCCCCACTNTCTTTAAAACATCTTGAAATTCCCACTTGTCCGATAAAACGTTCAAATTAATTTGAGAAATAGTTCGAGCTAGAGCTTTGAAATTGCTTTGTTGTTTTCTCATCATCTCATCGATTTTACTTGGTTTGTCGACGTCATGGAAAACAAATCTTGGTAATGGTAGAACCTTTTTAGGCATGGTTTCTGATGTTGAGGTTCCCGGTTGTGCGGTAGGTGTTGATGGTTTTTGAGTTTCACTGGTTTTCGGACCCGAAGGGGATTGGGACCGATTGGTTACTTCATCATAACTTTTGAGTAAATGGACTCTAACATCGTCATAAAATTTCTTGGTTTTGAAATAGGAATCATCCTCAAAATACATATCGTCTTCAGTTTCATCACAAATATTGACTAATTTTTCATGGTTTTGCGAAAATTCTCTCCAGAAAGCTTCTAACGACTGCAAACGACGTTTAATGCTATCAGAGGTTTTCCTTTCTTTCCCTTCTTTTTTGAAATTCATGTAAAGCTTGTTCATATTCTCCATAATCTCCTTTTGTGCGGCAATAAGATCGGCGATAGAAGACATTTTGGTAGTTGGTTGGTGCAGTGGTTGATTAGTATAAAAATGGAAAGATCTTACTTGGTGGTTCTGCTTACTGGTCGTTGATAGTAGTGGTGTTGGTGGCCGGGAATCCAAATATTGGTCACAGGTCACACAAAATGATTACAATTGGTTTGCACTGATTGGTTCGTAGTCAAATGGTTCGATAAATGGTAAAGTACCCCAAAGGGCTGGTTACACAGAAAGATAGTCACTGACACGTCACGTACAAAGTTCACAACGCGGCAGGTCCCACCTTTCCGAAGGCTCGAAGGACCAAATTTGTCGGGTGTAAGTCCAACAAATTAATAAATATGAAATAATATAAAACGTCAAAATTGGTTAAACTTGGTATATTCGTAAAATGGTTAAATGGTATGCTGAGTACACGCGGCGATGGTAACCGAACGCGAACTAACTTAAAGATATTAAAATAATGAAAAGGTTAAAATTGGGTCAGATTGGTAAATGCTGACCGCGCGCTTACGGGCGAGTTGAATGCACTGTACTTCGTACACGACTTTCTTTTATATTATATAGATTTGCAGTGCAAAACATTAAGATGCAAGACGGCACCAAACATGGTTACCGAAAAGTATATGGGTTGTAGAGGAAGGCAGTGAAGTATTTTTTGGACGCACATCTTTTAATTCTTTACACTCTATCAATTGTAGAGTTTTTGCGAACAACTAGAGAAAAATCAGTACAAACCTGACTCCAGAAACTCCCTGAAGTCCGGATCGATGCACAACACAGGGTGTTGCCCCACGCGGTTCAGGAATCGCTCGAGCGCCGCGCGCCGTCGCTCCACAAACTGGGACTGCACGTTGCCTGAGTTGCTCCCGTTAGCGCTCTCCGTTGACGGCGTCGATGTCATCTTTAGCTTGGTTGTTCCTGGATTAGAATAATTATTTACAAGAAAGAACTTTGGTAACAAGGCTGCTACCTATCGATTAACATGGAAAGCATTGGGGGAGGCCTATGTTCAGCAGTGGACGTCCTATGGCTGAAATGATGATAATGGTAACTTTAGACAGATAGAAAGTTTTTATTTGTCTCATAACAGGTTACATTTACAGTTTATCACAGAATACAGTTATTATAGTGGTATGAGACCAAAAGACTATTGCCCGTATTCACAAACATTACTATGTCTCACAGTTCGCGTGAACGCAAAGGTTGACATACGAACCAATGACAGAGCTCTATTCAACGCTGTGCGTTCGATTTGCTGCTTCACTTATGCAAGCATCGTTTGTGAATATGGGCGTATGACTCACTGATTTCCACAAACCCTATTATTCTGCCCTCAGATCATAGTATGATCTGAGATTCTGCCATAGCCAAAATTAAGAGCAATAATATGGAGTTAGACACATTCAGCAAATTTTGCCTTTCAGAATATTCAAGTTGTCCCAAAAATAGCACGTTACATACACGGTCTAAGTGCCCTTTTCCTGTAGTGCGGATTTAATCCACATTCGGGCTGCCCGCATTTCATTATTTCATACATGTTTTTCCTATTTCGCGGGCTACACGCACGCGGAACGCGGATTGTCTGCGGGAACACAATACAAAATCTTTGTCCTTCGTGCAACCAGCAGTAAGATTTTACACGTAGGTACCTACTGTAGGTCCGCATGCGTGCCGAAATCCGCATCACAGGAAAAAGTCATTATCACAAATCTTGTGACTTTATTTTAGATTTGGCATATAGCCATTACCCATAGTAATTCTAATAAACGTTTTTGTAAAGCATTACCTTGTTCCAAAACATGATTCTATGACGTAAATTATAATGCGCATTGAATTGAGACTATGTATTCTAATCATTTATTCATTGGCATGTAAATGTAAACATGTAGGTAATGAAGAATTAAGAATACTGACCAAGTAGGGTAGTCAACAAATTGTCAAAGGAGAATTTCCCCATAGATTTAGTATGACAAATTAGCGCTTACGACGTCACTTATTCTTCAAATCAATAGGGAAACCCAAGTCAATGAGTAGTCAAAACCTGACTCTCCCATACATTTTGTATGGCAAGGGGATAACTTTTTAACGCTGCTACCACTGGGCTTAGAAGTGTTTTTTTTTTCAATGTTAATTACACTACACAATTCTTATTTTAGCAATGTTGCTTACCAACTATGCTTTTCTCAGGGGCCGGAGGTATTATTCTTCCAGAGCGAAGATACTTCTCTGTCAGTTTCTCGTGGAGCCCTAAGAAGTCACTGAAGCGTCTCCACACAGCGAACTCATGCCTGCTGAATATAGGCATGTTGGTTTTGGTGAGTACACGGTAAGCTACGTAGGAGCTCATGCCTTCGCCAATCTTCTGTGGTTCTGTGATGGTGATGATAATGTTGTTTGTGCGTTCCGTTGCAATCTGTGAAACAGAGAATTAGGTACTTTCAAACACTAATACCAGCTACAAGAGTTTGGTGTAGGATCATAACTGCCGAGGGTCAGTACTCAATAAGAATTGCCATCTAAACTGGACTTTTGTGGTGAACCTACTCAATTCATGACACAAATAGATTATTTAGTTCAACAGTAGGAATAATTGGGAATATTAGTAAATTGACTATTTTCCTAAAAAGAAATAGACAAAATGATTTTATTATAATGTGGAAATTCGTTGTAGATAAAAAAAATAAAAAAAAGCCCATTTAAATTAATATTCAAGAGAAAAATGAAGAATGTTTTTCAGTCATTAATTTTGCATATTTCGCACATCTTTCTAGCAGAAACATGGTCATGAAATCATAATAATTCTTACATTTTAACTCAGTATTTAGAGAAAGAAATTACCCATTATGCATCACGTCATGTTGCCTTAGTCATAGTGACTGATAGCATTATCTGTCTTAGTTATTTAAGTTTTCTGTTGAATATTGTTATCACTACATAATTGTTTCTCAAAAGAAAAATTCTAAAGCTGAGTTGCACCACCTAACTTTAACGGTAATTATAATGATAGCCGGTGCATTTTGTATTGTATAGAGTTTGACAGAATTTTGATGTTTGTTAAAGTAAGATGGTGCAACCCAGCCTAAAGATATAAAATCTAAGGGATTATCAATAATGACAACATATCAATGTCACAACAGAGATAAAATACATCACAACATTTTAATTTTATAAGAAAACACTGCACAAGTTTACTATTTTTATATGGTTGGTCATTGAGATGTAAAGTAATACACTTGCTATACAAATAAATACAAGAGGGTGGACCTTTTTTGTCTTGCTTTTTTGAAATATGTCTAACATAGGTACCTACTTATTATCAGTTTTCATATCTTATTAGAATTTTATTTAAAGTTTTTGACTACAAGAGTTTGAATATTATTTCAAACATATTTTTAGGACACAGGGAGTCAATAAGTATGTTCATACCTCTTCCATTATGGGGCTGCTTAATGTAGTAGTTATAGACGGCAGTGCATCACTTATGGTCACCTTTTCCATGCTTTCTTGGGCTCCGTTGACTTCAGGGTCCAGGCTGACTTCCTGTAATTACAAGTAGGTAATATATTATAGATAAAATAAACATTATAAAATATTCATACTAAAGTTAAGGTTATTAATGTTAATATTGTTTCCTTAACCTATTTCAGGCACATACACAAATACCTAAAGCACATTGTAAATGATGTGAGTGATTGTGTGGATATTATTTCCATTTTCCATCATAAATATCAGAGAGTGGATAGTCATTTTTTTAGCCAAATACCTACATACTCAAGTTTCCACAAAATTTTATCAGCTTATACAATAATTATAGATCTGTTAAACTACAGGAAATTACTGCATGACGCACAGAGAACGACGAGTGATTATTAATGCTAATAGACATATTTCACGTGAGCTGTTGTAATTTAATTATTGAATAATTATCTCCAGTAGATTGTTGAAACTTTCAATGTAATTTTGAGATCTAGTTGTGACGGGCAAGGGGCGTTGACGCGACACCCGGCGCGCTGCCGGGGGCGGACGCGAGCACAACAAGTTAATAAAACAGGATTCCAATAAGATACCTGGACCGCAGACGCAAAAAGATCCTCTTCATCCCTGTTATCATTGTTAATATCGACCGTGCTAAAGGGCGGTGTGTCTGGCCCCTCCGACATGGTTCAAAATACACAATCCAACACTTGCAAGCACAACCAAAGCAAACTACACGTATTTCAATGAAATAATACTGAAAACAGCGAGATAAATCCACCGATACGATTGGGTTGCTTGACAATAGTTTGACAGATCTAGCAGAACTGACACTTTTTTGTGACGTATGATGATTGGACGGTAATCAATAAAACATTGACGGAGTGATTCGGACCGATTACTTTTTTTTTTTTACACAAAATAATCTTTTGATGTTTGATTGTAATTAATTTTAAATAAAATTATTCAAAAAACATAAAAACAGTCTAAAGGAACAGAGATTTCATAATAATTTCACCTACCAGAAATAATTGAAAAATTACGTGGCAAACTGAGTGCTGTCAGAAATCAGCTGTCAATTTTACGTCAAAAAACCGGCCAAGTGCGAGTCGGGCTCGCGCACAAAGGGTTCCGTAGCAGCAACAGTTAAATCAACCTATCTCAAAAACTATAAGAGATACTTTGATCAAACCAAAAATCGTTGAAAGAGTTAATTAGCATGCATCACCTCTATTTTTTTTAGAATTTTATACCCCGTAGTTATAAAAATAGAGGGGGGGGGACATACTTTTTACGACTTTGAGAGCTGATATCTCAAAAACCGTTCACTTTAAGAAAAATGTTTTTTAGAAAACTTTATATCATTTTAAAAGACCTTTCCATTGATACCCCACACGGGTATGTACATCGAAAAAAAATTTTCATCCCTCAGTTACATGTATGGGGGGCCCCACCCCCAATTCTTTTTTTTACTATTTAGTGTCATAATTTTGTAGCGGTTCATACAACACATATTCCCATAAAATTTCATCACTGTAGTACTTATAGTTTCCGAGTAAATCGGCTGTGACAGACGGACAGACGGACAGACGGACAGACGGACAGACGGACAGACGGACAGACGGACATGACGAAACTATAAGGGTTCCGTTTTTGCCATTTTGGCTACGGAACCCTAAAAACCACAGGAAAGTGGATTTGTTGTTTTGTTTTTGTGATAGAGGTAAATGCAATTTCCTGAATAGTTTCTTGTTTCCTTAAGTATGCGTTGTCTAAAAATTTATTTACTGTACTTCAACGACAGAATTTTCAACACATCCGTGTAATTTTTATGCGTATTTTGTACGTTGTGTAAAACATGTTGTATGGTGGTATTTAGGGCAAAATGAGCGGTTCTGATAAGAAGCCGAAGATACCGGAGGCGCCGAAGCCGGTGGCCGTGCCAGGGAACCTTCTCTCCAGCGTGGCCCCGCCAGCCCAGCTTCCCAGTTTTATAACATCTGCCCCTATTGCAGCACCGTCTGAAGTGAGTTATCATAGATTGTTTTTATATAAATAAACCTTAAAATAATAGTATACAGTCGAAAATTGATATTTGTATTTCAGCAACCAAATGTGCCACAGACTATCCCTGCTCCTCAACCAGTCCAGCCTGTCATAGTGCAGGCCAAAGAGGATCCAGACCAAGAAAAGTTCAGGTGTTGTATTTAGAGTTGCCAATTTTTTTATAGAGTTAAATGTAGGAACATTATTATGGAAAGTTAGCTTTAAAATGTTAAAAATATAATTATTGCACTGGTTATTAAGAAAACATAGTTCATCAATAAATACTGTTTGTGTTTGCTTACTGAAGGTTTTACTTTTTATTTACAGTCCAGCTATCCCACTTAGCAAAGGAGAACCAACTCTCCCAATCAGGTCACCCGAGGACTCTCAAACCACACAATCTCCAGATTCCCTGCCTGAAGCAGCTGATGTTGACAGACTTGGTAATTATCTTGAACTATGGTATAATTGTTTAATGAAAGTCCAAAACAAAATGATATATGTAATTTTTTTTTATTCATCTACCAGATGGTACAGGTAAGAAGTTTTAATTCTTGTATTAAGGGCCGATTTTTCAATTGTCCGATAACTTTTAACTGAAGAATAACCTTGTCATTTTGACATATTTCCCATACAAACACTGTCAATGTGCCAGACTTATTCTTCAGATAAAAGTTATCCGACGATTGAAAAATCAGCCCTTAAAAGTAAATTTTAGTCATAATAATTTTTATAAAAAGATTGGAAGGCAAAATGCCTCTAATGAATTTATTTTTAAACCATTGGTAAAAAAAATATTTGCCTTAAAAAAGACAATGCCGGAAATTGGCGTCTTTTTTTTTTCGCGCGGCCATCGACCAAACCTTATTTTTTGATTACAAAATAGTATAATAAACCAAACTTACTACGACATGTATACCTCTAAACTCAGTCTGAACTGAGTTATGAGCATTAGAAGTTTGATGATTTTCATACTAGATTTGCTTTTTGCGCGCAAGTTTTGTAAGAAATTGCAACAAAATAGTGACATTGTATGTGTGAACAAACAATACCATCCATTAAAGGCTCCAGACATCAGTGTGAAGCAGAATCAGCGCAATAAAAAAATAGCGCAATATTTTGTTGCAATTTCTTACAAAACTTGCGCGCAAAAAGCAAATCTAGTATGAAAATCATCAAACTTCTAATGCTCGTAACTCAGTTTAGACTGAGTTTAGAGGTATATATGCCATAGTAAGTTTGGTTTATTACACTATTTTGTAATCAAAAAACAAAGTTTGGTCGATGGCCGCGCGAAAAAAAAAAGACGCCACCTTCCATACAAAATCTGGCATTGCCATTTATTGGTGAGTTCCTGGAATGCCCAGAATTTATAGGTATTATCATTTTAGCCTCAGATTCTATGAGTTTCAAATATTCCAGGAGACATCATGCCAGGCAGTGGCTTATTCACCTGGGTGAAAGGTGCAGTGGCTACTGGAGGAATTCTCCACCGTGTGGCTGAGAAAGCCAAGAGTTCTGTGGACACCATGATCACCACCCTGGATCCACAAATGAAGGAATATCTTAGTAAGTTCATTCCATTTGATGTTCTTTTAAAACAATATAGTAAATGTTTAGATCTAAAATTGTTTAGAACAATATACCTACTAAAATGTTTGTGTTTACAATGTTTAGAGTCTGGTGGTGACTTGTACCTTGTGGTGGCATCAGATAAAGAAGCGAAGGTTTCACCTATTAGAGAAGCATTTCAAACAGTCTTTGGGAAAGCAACAGTTGTGTAAGTATTTTTTATTTGAAAACAATACAGTATGAAAATCTAGATAAATTAACAATTTAAATAAACAAATTAAAACTAAATTTAGACAAAAATAATAAGGTTCTATCGTGGAACAAGTTACTGATAACGCCACCTATTATCACTTTCTCAAAACTAGCAATATCTCTTTACAAATACAAAAGTTCGGTTTTTTGATACTAGATGGCACTTATCATGAAAATGAAAATTATTCAGTTTTGTCCAATATTTTAGCATTAATGATTTGGCGTGCTTATGTTTTTTATTGACATGTGTCTTGAACACCAATAAACTTCTTTTTCAGAGGTATCCCAGCGCAAAGTGACGTCACAGCGGCTCAGCCGGTTGGTTACGCGGCTGCGTACGCGGCGGCGAAACAACGCATCGCGCACGTGCGATCCACGCGCTCGGATCTTAATAACAATATTCCAGTGGTGGCTGTTGAAGGGTTCTTACAAGAGACAGTTAGCGACAGGTCGGTAATGTTTATAATTTTTTAATAAAAACTCATATAACTCATTTAATTTTTGTAAGTAGGCTTTTGAAAGGCACTATACACGTCCCAGTATTATTAAGATAAAACAAGGACATAATACATTCATTCCATATCAGAACTAGTCAGTTTCTATAAGGTAATAACTATCGCAATAAAATAAATAAAATATTGTACCTTTCTTTAAAAAAAAAGTTTTCTATTATATTCTATCGAATTTTACCTTAATTAACTATTTAAAGCATTTTTTTAAAAAGAATTACTGAAATGAACTGCAAATAAAAAGATGGTTTTAACGTTGTAAGGAACCAGCTGAGCGCGACATCACATAACACGCGCCTATGCGAACTAGTATGAGACACTGCTTTTTGTTTCAACGTGTTTAGTGACTACAAATATCTGTATCCTAAGATATAGATACCTAAGTATCTTTAGAGATTTTAGATACAGATAAGCACTGAAAATATGAGATCATTCCCTATTTTGTGATTAAAAATTCCGTACTTTCATCAAACTCATTGTTCCTCTTCGCAGATGGTTCGACATGTCTCTCCTAGTGTTCTCACAGCCCTCGCTGGGAATCGAACTGCAACTGCAGTCTCAAGGCACGCCGGTGCCCGGCCCAGCCGTGGCCGCCGCCGGCGCCGCCACGCCGAAGGACTATGAACACTCGCAGACTGGATATAGCGTCACTATTGGCTCCATTATGGCTGCTAACTTACAGGTATTGTATTACAAAGTAGAATCAGTTTTTTGATCTATAATAATATTTGTTTCTGAGTGATAAGAGTTAATTTTGAATCACATTTTTGGTCTCCACTGTAGGAGCACGGTTCTCTCTAATATACCAGAGACAAAAAATTGGAGGATATGGTTTACAATGCCCGTGCTGGTCAGAGGCAGACGGGATAATGATGATGATGTTTGCATTTTTGTGCCTTTTCCGTTTTGTACGGTATTCGGGATAAAGATTGTGGGCTAGAAGTTGTAGGGGATCAGAGTTTTAGGCAGGCTCCCTTCAATCTATATCTATACTAATCTATACTTATAATGATAGAGTTTGTTTGTTTGTTTACTTGAACACGCTAATCTCAGGAACTACCGGTCCGATTTGAAAATTTTTTTCAGTGTTAGATAGCCCATTTATCGAGGAAGGCTATAGGCTATGCTATATACCATCACGCTACGAGTAATAGGTGCAGAGCAATAATGATTTTCACGCGTACGAAGTCGCGGGCACTGCTAGTTGAAAATAAGATTAAAAGGGGCATAGTTGGGTTCAGCTGCTCTCCCTTTTGCCTCCCCCTGGGTATGCTGTTGAATGTGATCGTATTCTTATCTGTCCATGTACCTATGTACAGGTGGGTACCTGCCTATGTACTATTTAAAATCAACCTTTCCATCCAGGTCCACCACTCGCAATGGCAGGAGGCCGCGACGGGCGTGTCGAGACGTGAACTTCTACTGTTAGCCGCGAAGTCTCTCGCCGGCTC